GAGCCCGGGGGGATCCGGGGGGATTCACCGGGCTCCTTGGCACTGACAGTGTCCCTGTCCCTCAGGATGGACCGGATGACGGAGGACGCGCTGCGCCTGAACCTGCTCAAGCGGAGCCTGGAGCCGGCGGAGGAGCGCGAGGACGTCCTGGCCAAGCGGCTGAAGATGGAGGGACACGAGGCCATGGAGAGGCTGAAGATGCTGGCCCTGCTCAAGCGCAAGGACCTGGCGGGGCTGGAGGTGCCCCACGAGCTCCCGGTGAAGCCGGACGGGATCAAGGGCTACGAGGAGAAGCTCAACGGGAGCCTGCGGCCCCACGGCGACGGGCGGAGCGCGGCCCGGCCCGGCAAGGAGAACATCAACGACGAGCCCGTGGACATGAGCGCCAGGAGGAGGTGGGTGCCGGCAATTCCGGGCTCTGGCGGGGCGGGAGGAGCCGGCGTGGGAGTTAAATGGGATTTGGGGGGTCCTGGAGAGGCTGAGAGCTGGGGGGAACGGTGGGATGACAGGGAGCGGCTTCCCACGGACAGAGGGCAGGTGGGATAGCGGGAAGGAATCAGGAAGGAATCGTTCCCTGTGCTGGTGGCACAGGTTGTCCTGGGATTTGGGGATTTCTCATCCCTGGAAGTGTCTGAGGCCAGGCTGGACAAAGCTTGGAGCAGCCTGGGGTAGTGGGAGGTGTTCCTGAAGGGTCCTGCTCCGAGTGTGGAGTCGTGGGCTGCATCCTGGGCGGAATTCCTTGGATATTGTGCAATATGAGCTTACCCAGTGGGGCACCAGCATCGCACACGGATACTCGGATCAGGAAATCAGCCCTGGAAAGAGGTGGGAATATTCTACTCTGAGTTGAGAAGTGGGACTGGGAATGTCTCATTTTCCTGGATTTTCCTTGGGAATGTGCTCCACCTCTCCTCACCTCTACCTGCCTCCCTCGCCGTGGCTCCTCCTCCAGTGATTCTGTTGGAATTCTGCTCTTCCCTGGACAAAGGAAATGCAAAAATTGGTGATTCCTCATGGATGGCTCCGTTTTCCCTCTTGGATTTGGACTCTGGCTCTGCCTTATTCCCCTGGTGGAATGTCAGGAATCCAGCCTGGATGTATCCGGATGCTCCTGCAGAATTATTCCCGATGTGCCAGCCCAGTTTGGAATTCCTGGATGTGCTCCCACCGGCTCCTTGTCCTTGGGATGCTCTGGAATTTCTCTGCTGGAGCAGGGGCAGCTCCGTGCCCTGCTGCTTCGGAATATCCACAAAAGCAGCTGGAATGTTTGGGAGATGAAGGCAATCCCAGCTTGGATCATCTTCCCGCCCTCGGAGCAGCCAAACCTGGGAGCCGGATTCGGCTCTGGGCTCCCTCCGGGTGTTCAGAGCTCACAGTTTGGGATGAGACATTCCATGGTCTCCCCTCGCTCTAGGGACCTTCCAGGGAGCTGGAATTGCCTCTGAGCTGGATTATCCCACAGTTTTCCAAGGCTCTCCCGCAGCAGGAGTGAAATCCAGGGTAGCAAAGGGCTTTTCTTGGAGTCTCCTTTGCCGGGATGATCCTGCCTGGATCCTGCTGGGCTCCACTGCTGATTTTTGGTTTATTTCTCTTCCCTGCTGCTCCTTTGGTGTCCCGGTGCTGGATCAGTTGGATTTTCATGCAGGTTTTCCTTTCTGGAATGGGTTTCTCCAGCACATTTGGGTTGGGATAGGCTTGGAGCGGTGCCATTAACGGGGGGAGCTCGGCCCCTTCTCCACCGCAGTGAGGATGAGCGATTCCAGGCTGGATATCCCTGCCATTCCCTCCCATCCCAGCACCAGGACACGCTCCTGATTCCCACCTGGTTCCCAGGTGGGATTTGCACTCCTGAGGGGTGAGGGAGTGCTTTTGAGGGAGCCCTTCCCTCCCGGTGTCCAGGGGAGCCGCGCCGCTCCGGATCCGTGCTGGAATGAGGGGGATCCCCAAAATCCCACATTGCTGGCTCGGTGGGGCTCCCCAAATCCCAGATTCCCAGCTCACCCGGATTCCTTTCCCCCACAGTGACCAGGACCGGGGCCGCTTGACCCCGTCGCCGGACATCATCGTGCTGTCGGACAACGAGGCCTCCAGCCCCCGCTCCAGCTCCCGCATGGAGGAGCGGCTCAAGGCGGCCAACCTGGAGATGTTCAAGGTGAGGGAACGGGAATTCCATCCCGGGAAAGGCGCGGGGTGAGGCGGGGGGTGAAGGATTTAGGGCGTTTCTCAGCAAATTCCAGGTGCACCTGTGGTCCAAATTCCCGCTTGGATTTGGATTTGGCTTCCCCCCTCTCCCTTGCTGACGCTGTGCCCGGCGTTTCCCAGGGGAAGAGCCTGGAGGAGCGGCAGCAGCTGATCAAGCAGCTCCGGGACGAGCTGCGGCTGGAGGAGGCCCGGCTGGTGCTCCTGAAGAAGCTGCGGCAGAGCCAACTCCAGAAGGAAAACGTGGTGCAGAAGGTGAGGGCTGGGAGGGAAGGGGAGGACACGGAGCCTCCAGTCCTCCCGTGGGATTCCCTCTCCAATCCCCAACTCCAGGGACACAAACGCACAGCTCTGCCCCTGGATTCCCACTCCCAGTGCTGATCCTGGATCTCCCTCCTGCCTCCCCAGACTCCCGTTGTCCAGAACGCCGCGTCCATCGTGCAGCCGTCCCCCGCCCACGTCGGGCAGCAGGGCCTGTCCAAGATCCCCTCCCGGCCCGGAGCTCAGGGGGTGGAGCCGCAGAATTTAAGGACATTACAGGTGAGCATTCCCGTTTCTCCTGGAAAATGCCAATTTTTAGGGGGTGCACAAAGAGCTGAGGGGTTTTTCCCGAGAGGCGGGGGAATTCCCTCAGTTCCTTGGGGTTGGATTTGGGTTTGTCAGGAGTTAGGCTCAGTGATCCTTGTGGAACTGGGTGTTCCATGATCCTCTGAAATTCCGGTGTCCCACCTGGAGGTGGGAATTCCCCAAGGCCTTCCTGCTGCTTCCAGAGGAAAAGCCCCTGGAAGTGTTTGCTCCATGGATTTCTGCCTCTCTCCTGGACCATGCATCAATTCCAGCCTTCCATGGGAAATAGGGATGTGCCAGCTTGAGCAGGAGAAAAGGCCAAAATCCTATAAAATCCAGGACAGCCTGGGGAAAAGTGATTTGGGGCATTAGAGGCTAACTGGGATTCTGGATAAGCAGGAATTCCGTGGATCAAGGCATCGATGCTCCAGGTTTCCCTCACTTTTCTCGGAGTTTGTCACTGAGCTCCGGGAGCCCTGGGAGGGGTGGCGGGGGCTGTGGTGCGGGATCTGATTCCCTGATTCCCGGTGGATTCCCTGGCAGGGCCACAGCGTGATCCGCTCGGCCGCCAGCTCAGCCCTGCCCCACATGTTGATGTCCCAGCGCGTCATCGCCCCCAGCCCCGCCCAGCTCCAGGGCCAGCGCGGGCCCCAGAAACCCGGCCTGGTCCGCAGCTCCACGCCCGGGATGAGCCCTGCCATCAACTACCAGCCGGTGGGTCGCTGCTCGGGCTGCCCGGCACGGCTCTGGGCCGGCTGGGCACGGCTCTGGGCCGGCTGGGCACTGGTTTGGGCCGGGTGGGCACTGGT